GAGCTGTGGGTTTTGCCGATGGACAGGGTATGGTATGGAGGGAAAGGAAAGGGATCCCATGAAATGCAAGGCTCTCTACAGAGCAAGTAGATACTGTGGAAAGAGGCATGGTAGGAGTATCAGGCCTGGGCATAAAGCTGGTATTTGTGGAGGGACCTCTGGAGTGTCTGGCAGAGCTCCATCTGAGGCAGAGGCAGACAGCGAACAGGTGCAGGTAGGGTGCCACAAGTGGATGTGGTCTGCATGTGTTGGATGCTGGCATCTAGCTCAGGCCTGGCACACACTAAGCACAGGCTCTGCCACTGAGCTGCATCCTGGGCTCGTTGTTGACACATTTTAACTCAGTAGCTGAGAAGTACTGGCATCATAGACTAGTTGAGGACACTAAGCAGACTCAGACCTCAGGCAGCAATTTCTAGAGATGGGAGATTGGAAGAACCCCTAGGGAGGCTCATAAGGGGGAACCCTGAGTTGGGGCATCCACTAGGCAGATTCCCAGAAGTTCATAGATCACAAAATGAGGACAGGAGCTGGCTACTGGGTTGGTGATCTAGACATCTCCACCAACCAGGCTGCAAGTTGGTTGGGTCTGTGTGTGTCAAGATGTGACTGCCAGCTCTCTAGCCACTGGCCTACCCAACAAGAAATCACTCAAAATAATTTGACTATTCTCACAGTAAGCAATCCAGCCTGCCCTGTAACCACACCTTCAGAAAGTCAGTCTAGACCTCTGGCCTTTCTGAAGGCTGGGTTGAATCCCAGCTCTGTTTCTTAACTAGCTGGATAACCTTGGGTGAGTTACCACCATCTCTGAACCTGTCTCATCATCTGTAAATGGAGATACTATCATTAGCAACCTGATAGCCTATTCTAAAGTGTAAAAGAGTGAGAAAAAGGGAAGAACCGTTTAGCATAGTGCCTTCTTCAACAATACTACTCTTATAGCGTATGCATGGTATAACCTTACAAAACTAACAAGCGCTCACAGTATCTGTATATTTGCTTCCATTTTCCTGACAGAAATAATTCCTAGCCCAGAAAGTCACTCTGCTACCATGTTTAATGGCTCTTTTGGGTACCTGATGGCCCTGAGCCCCAGCGGTCACTCTCTGAGCTGCTCTGCGCTCGGTAAGTTTCAAAGAATGCCAGTGCCACTACTTCAGCTTTGGCCTAAAAGGTGAACAGTGCACAGTGGGCCAGCGCCCGTGTGTCCTAAGAATCTGCGGTCAGGCAGCCCTGGGCCCTGTTGTCTAGGAGAAAAAGCTTGGTCTGAAGCACAGGCCACCACCTGCCTGCTCCCCAGCCCCAGCATGAGGCCCACAGAATGTACCCAGCACTGAGGTTCCAGGACCAACTTGGCTGATACTTACTCCAATCTTATAGAGCCATCGGAGGAAGTGTTGTCAAAGAGCCACCGGAAGAAAAAATCCAGGCTGAAAAGCAAGTGAATCTTCTAAGAGTTTATTTGGTTCCTTTCTCTCTTCCTGGACCTTCCTCAATACCTTCTTTCCGTGGTGCTGGGGATGGAACCCAGGGCCTCATGAATATTAGGGAAGTTCTCTGACACAGCATTCTGACCCAACTTCAAAGAGTCTATTTCTAATATTCCATATGATCACAAAACATTCCCATTTTGTTCCACTATAAAGAGAGGCTGAATTTTGAAATCTAACATTGTTTTCTCTGATGCCACTTACACAGTGTGACACATAAGGCAGCTTTCAGGGAAACTCTCCTCCTTTAGTTAAACACAGCAATGATTAGAATCTACCAGTGTGTGTGTGTGTGTATGTGTGTGTGTGTGAGCGGGTGTGGTCACTATTAAGTTTGTGTGTAAGCTAACCTTTCACCCCAAGAAAGATCATATTTCCAGAAGAATCAATGGGCCAGCACAACTGCACTCCAACTGGTTACTACAGGCCCAAGAGTTGTTTCCAAATCCGTTTCCATTCCCCTGGTAGCAGTACTCTACAGATGTAGCCCTGATTCTGAGCTTAGGGCAGGAGATGGTGGGATATACCTGGTGAGGCC